TTTTCTCATTTTTTTAATAGGTGCCCGTAAGGGTGCGTCTTCCCGAACGTATAGCTGCGTTTGGGAATAACGCTAAAAGCTGGGAACTTCGCGTGTCCCATGTGTCTTTCCCTGCAATAGCAGACTGCTGTGTTGCAAGCAGGGCAGCCCATTCCTTCTTCGTGTGCTGGGCTAGCTCGGGTTGTCTTCACATATTTGCCTGTCTTTAAAGAAAAAAAAATCCTTATCATCTAAACCTAGACTTTCTGGAATTAGATCAGTTTCACTGTATTCGGCAGCTTTATAAGACTAGTGAAAACCGAAGTTGTTTGTACAGCCTCAGCTTCTTGAGAGTCTTAGCATAAAATGCTGAATTTGGAGATTTTGAGTTGGATATTTGTTAGTAGCCATATTCCTCTTGGTTAAAATAACTTTGGGAAGTTGTTGACCTCGGAAGATGAAAGAGCTGGTTATATTTGGTGGAGCTGGTTATATTTGGTAGGACAACTCCCCACCCTCTCCCGAGACTGTAAAAATGAGATAGTGACTGGAGTGGAACAAAAAATAGTGTGTCTAGAAAACTCCGCTTTCCGAAGAAAATGATAGAGGAGAAAAAAAAAGGCAGTGGAGAATATTCTTAGAGCAGACTGTAAGAGACTGTATTTTGGGCGATTCTGTTTTTATTTTCAAGAATTTTGGTAAATTTACAGGGAATTGCTAGTTCTACTTTTTCCATCCATATTTGTTCCACTACTTAGAACATACAGTTTCCGTCACCATAGAAAACAGCCTCTTCAGAATAATTAACGAGGTTTATAATAAACATCAAGCAGAAACTTGACTGAGGCGACTTTTTAGCACAAATGAGCTTTTCATGTGCTTTGGGTTTTCTTAAATTCCTGAATCTCTTGAAGTTTGTTTGTTTAGCCAGGGGAAGGCCCCACACTTGTTTTGTTAGTGAACAAAAGAGAAACCTCCTGTAAGGAAGGGACACTTGGGGCGGAGAGGCAGGGGTGGGGGCAAGAGGCCCAGGATCTTTGCTGCTTTTGGGATTGTTCAAATCCTGGAAGCTCTGGAAATCTGCTCTGTGAAGTGTTAGGATCCCAAAATGAGGGAGGGGGAGACCTGCTGAAAAAGTTCTCGGCAGAGCAAGTCGGGCTGAAGCTCTTCTTTGCCCCTGCTTGTGGGGAGGGGGAGGTCTGTATTTTTCAGTAGCCTCAGCAAGAATTCAGCCATCTCTTTAAGCTTTTCTGCTTTTCCTGTTTACGTTGGCGATTGGGTGGAAGTGTTGTGGAGGCAGAAAACTTTTTGGAATGTTGAAAAAATGTTTCATGCAAATCTAGTAAATTGCTTCAAGGCTTCCAAGATTGAACACTAAGGGGCGCCAGTTATTTCTTTTCCATCCCGGGCTCCCCGCTCCATGCGTGGCTTGAGTGGTGAAATACACAAATGCTATAGAAGCTAGGGACGAGTCCCAAATATTTGTGGGTTTGTTCCGGTATCTCCACTTGTGTGAACTTGCATATATTGTTTGTTTAGATGCAGCATTACATAGGCGAGTAGCTATAGTTATAACTGAGAAATTAGAACAACCTTTGACACAAATCACAGTAGTGTAAGAGGACGTTCTTTAAAACATCTGCTCTGGTTATCAAAGGGACGTTAAATATCTTTAACTATATGATACGTTGAGGTTCTTTGGTTGTGTTTTATGGATTGCTAGAATTATCTTCAACATTCAGAACTTTTAAGTGAGAGAACTACATTTAATCTTTTCAACAGTTGTTTTATAGTGCTTTTGAGAATACAAAATATAAGGAGCAGCAGGGCGTATTAAGGTACATAAAAGGTATGTATTAAGTTACAAAGGCCTCGATTTGTCCCCCGGCCCCCAGTTTGGTTCACTTCCAGTACATAATATTATGTTTTAAATAGGGTTTTTTTTTTTTTGGTTAGTACAAAACAGTTTTCCTGAAGATTGGTTATGCTTGAGAAGAGTAATATTCTTAGACAGCTATTAGCCTTTGCATTTTATTTTTTAGTGGTCTAACTGAAGAAATAGTCACAACTGCAATATTTCAAGCAAACGAAACGTAAGATTGCTCTCTTTACTGCAGTGCTACTTTTTTTTTCTTAATTCATCTCAGTATACACAAAATAAGGAATGGATCTGTCAGGTTAGTTGAACAACATATGTGATCCGTTTAGGCTCTAATGTTTGATCTTTGGAAATGATAGTGCTTAATTTAGTAGAAAATCTCTGCTTTATGGTGTTTGAAGACCAACATGAATATGAGTGGTATATGGAGGATTTTTTTTTAAATTAAGAACTACTTTAGAATAAAATACGAAAGTTACAGTTTAGTTTATAGACACCTTTGCATACGTGTGCCTTTAGCTTCTTACTTGTAAATAAGGCTTTTGTGGATTAACAAGGATGTTTAAAGTGCACATCATAATGACTAGGAAGTTGGATTGTTTTTATCAGACTAGTGCAAACCTGTGGGAAGAGAGGGCTCTTCCTGAGTGTGGAATAGTCTGTATTTCCTGTCATTGTTTGGACCATCAGATGTGACCTGATTTTTTTTTTTTTTTTTGGTGCTTCAGCTTCTCAGATACTAACTTTCATGATTCTAACGTAGATTGTTTTTTGTCAGCCTGTGTATTTTGCTGGTCCACATTGTGCAAAATGAATAAATTGTACCTTTTATCATTATTTCTTTTTTTTTTTAGAAGTCCTATATTTCAACCTTTTTAATTAACACATTAATTTTTTTAGTTTTAGTCTCTTTGCAGGTTATGAACAGATTTTCCTAGATTATTCAGAGATCTTAATGGTGTTTTATCCTACAAAAATAACAAACAGCATCCCATCCCCAAGCATGGAATATTTAAAAAATATGTGGCCTATAAATAAAATAGAAATTTAATCAACACAGTCAGTAATACACTGGCTTGAGGTTGCTCGCTATGTAATACGTTACCAAGAAGCATCAAAAATATTTCTTGTCGTGTTTTTAAAAGTTTGTCTTTATTTTAGAAGTGTTTTATTCTTTTTAACTTACAGTTAGCTTAAATGTTATATTTGGTTGGAGCGTGCAGGGAAGCTGTGGTCCAGTCCTTTTCTTTTTTAGGAGGTATTTATGTAAGCTTTGCCAGGAATTTATTCTTTTCTGTAAACTACCTCAAACTTCAGCCTTTGTATCAACTAAGCTGGTGTTGAAAGCGATGTGCAAGTTCTTGTATGCATTATATATGCATATCTCTACATGTAATTTAAGCCATGAATCTAGCTTTTAAGATAAGTCCAAATTAATGTCAAATGGGCTGCCTCCTTTTGCACAGCAATTGTAATGAAGATAACTCTTAAAATCTCTAGCAAGGGATTAAGGAGCATTGAACCTGCTGGGCCCAGTGCCCTAAAGAGCAGCCTTCGTGTTAGTCTCATGGACTTCAGCTGGTCTGTCTGCATAAGTAAGGACTGAAGAACTATGTTCCAGCATTGTAAATAACTTCTCCCTCACAAGTAATCTAACTACTTTTGTATGTGACCTTATCATTTGTGATTATGTAAAGTTAGCCTGTATTTAGCTAGGGTTTTGCTGACCCATCACATTTGATGAAGGGGTGTTGGGCAAACTAGCATGTTGTTTCTGCCCCCGCCACCTTCCCAGCTAGGTCATCCGTTATAAAACATTATTTCTTTACAAACTGATGCTTCTCGAAGGGCCCCTCGGTGCAGGGTTAAGAGAAGACATACGCTGTTAAAATAAAGACCTTGTGATCTGTTTTTACCCAGAGACTCTTGGAATATTTTGAATAGTAATGTTAAAATTGCACAATAAAAAGAAGGCAGCAAAAGCATTTTTTTGTACTGTTTGTGATAGTGCTCTTTTGAATTTTGTACTTTGTTGATCTTTAAGTCTTAGAATATTATTCTGAGGTGTCTCCTGATTCACGGTTATGGAGTCGTAACAGTATTATGGAGCCTCTTGCGCTTCTCTTTCCATAAACTTTGTAAAGTTGTTCTAGGGGTGTTTTTCTTTTTTTTCCTCTTTCTTATTTGGGGGGTGTGTGTGTGTGTTATTATTATTATTCATTTCATGGGCTCTATTACAACATCAAAAGCGAAAACTGCATTGCACATCTCAGAATGCAGATCTTTTTTCAGCTTAGGGAAGAATATTCAGAACTT